ATGTTTACATACTACAAGGAGGGAGCTGCGCGGATGTAAACTGAACAAACAAACATACACCTTCTGCGTTTGTTTGTTCGTCTGACATTTCTATTCATTCCTTCGTCTTTCTGACGAATGAATAGACAAAATTACCGTCCGAATTTCTGACAATAGCGAATGCCCAAGGCATGCGCAGGAATTTAACAGCGCTATCTAGTGTGGGCAGATGGCGTCTCCCACAGGGACTTCATCTGCCCACACAAAGATGGCAGCACTTAGGTCCGGGCACGAAATTAAGTAGAAAAAAAAAGGTAATATGGGGGGCCTAGGGGCATTTGGAGGTGTTTAGGGAGCCAGTTAGATGTAGTGGAGTCAGGAGGGGGGTTAAAACAAACAAAATAATGGATTCGGCCATGATAGTGCCGCTTTAAGTAACCTTTTGTTGGGAAGTAGGAATTAATGAGAACTAAATTGCATTTTTTTTTCCCAAAGGACTTCTTAAATTGTTTTTTCTAAGACTGAAGATTTTCTTAAAGGTACAGTTACCAATTTAAATGTTTCTGTTGTGTTCCTCATTCATACTTCCTTTTTTTTGAAAAAGCATTACAGTTTCAGGCAAAGCTCTTTATCCATGCATCCTGCATTTTGTTACATGTGGCTGTTCTACTCTTGAGTGGATTAATCTTGCTAAGTGTAAAAATCCAAGCAGGGCTTGTGCTTGTTAATTTAGGTATGGGAGACCAATCAGTGCTTACACCTCATGTCAACTATTGATTTTAGAAGCTCAATATTATTGTTGTACTTTTTTAAAAGACCAATGGTTTCAAATAGAAGCATACATTTATGGTGGATATATAAAGACAGTACACTTGGTACACTTTGCAGAGGCCCCTTGGAATACTTGGTAGAATTGGCAGGGGCAACTTGGAACACTTGGCTTTGGCACGTTGGACCTCTTGTCACCTTCTTTGTGGGGCTTGGCTCACTTGGAAGGGGCACCTTGGAATAATTTGCAGTAGAATCTTGGAACTTACGGCAGTGGCATTTTGGAATACTGGGTACTCCTGGCATGGGCACCTTGGCACAGTTGGCAACGGCATGTTGGAATACTTGGCACATATGGAAGCACCGCCTGGGATCACTTGGCACACTTGACAGGGATACATTGGCATACTTGGGAAGCACCTTTGAACCCTTAGCATTAACACCTTGAGAGACTTGGCAACGTTGGAATAAACATCGTGGCACACTTAGCTGGGGCACCTTGGAACAATTGGTACATTTGGCAGGAGTACTTTGGGAAAAAATGGCAATCTTGGTAGAGCCACTTTGGAAAACTTGGCATAGTTGGCCTGGTCACCTTGGAAAAATTGCCATACTTGGCAGTGACACATTGGAACAGTTGGGAAATGTGGCAGGGGTGCATTGGAACACTTGACAGTGACACCTTGGAAATATTTGCATATTTGGAAGCAGCATCTTAGCACAAATGTTACTTGTGGCTGCTGTAGTCTACATTGGAGTGATCTTGCTACATGTTAAAAGCCAAGCAGGTCTGGTCCTGGTTAGTTCGGGTATGGTAAACCAGTCAGTGCTGCCACCTAGTGTTAACTTTTGACTTTACAAGCTCAATATTGTTTTAGTTTATTAGTATACTTTTATACTAAGAGAGAAAGACTTGACACACTTTGCTGGGGCACCTTGGAACACTTGGCTTTGGCACATTGGAACTCGTCACTCTTCATTGTGGAGCTTGGCCTGGTTGGAAGGTGGACCTTGGAACATTGGGCACAATTTGCTTGGGCACTTGGAAAACTTGTCTGGAGCACTTGAAACAACACCAGGGAATATTTGGTAGAGGTACCTTGGAATACTTGACACATCTGGCAGTGCCAACCTGATATAGAAATTGGTGCTTTTACATGTGAATGGCAAAACACCTCTTGGCTGTCACTCACACAGCCATGAAGTTTTCATCCGCTTCTGTTAGCTCACGCCAGCCTTTCCCATTCCCAATGAGCAGTACTATAGGTCACTGAGAAGCATTGGAAAGCTGCATGCATGGATTCAGCACAGAGGCTTCTCAGTGAGAGGCATTCACCGGAGTATTCCCCAGCACAGACGGAAAGTGTCTGGGAGAGAGGGGATAGCTTGCAGAGGCTGTGCAGAATAAAATACACAACATTTTGTGTGTGTGGAGGTATATCTACTAAACAGTGAAAAAAAATCACCCGTTTTCCTTTAATAAAGTAATGTATTTTAAATAATGTTTTAAAAAACCTCTTTTCATTTTATGTGTCCAAAGTTTACTACTCTCCTGCCTGTACCCCTACTGGTGTGTGTATATGTGTTTCTAGATGTGTGGCAGTGTGTGTATTGTGTATCTAGTTGTAAGTCAATGTTTTCCTATGTGTGTCTGTGTATCTGCATGAGTCAGTGTTTGTATCTGTATGTGTGTTTTTGCGTCTCTGTATCTGTATGTATGTCATTGTTTGTATCTGTATGTGTGTTTTTGCGTTTCTGTGTCTGTATGTATGTCATTGTTTGTATCTGTATGTGTGTTTTTGCGTGTCTGTATCTGTATGTATGTCAGTGTTTGTATCTGTATGTGTGTTTTTGCGTGTCTATCTGTATGTATGTCATTGTTTGTATCTGTATGTGTATTTGTGATGGAGCTCCTGTACTCTGAACAAGTAACTCCGCCTAATCCGCTTCCAAGCCACTTGCAGGGACCCTGGAACACTTCTGCCCCACTCACCGCAGCTTGACTGGGGTCCTTCTGGAGCTTTTCCACCCAACTAGGTTGCAGCTCTCCTTCCAGGCAGGTATCGTCCCCTCTGCCTATTCTGCTGCAGCCCTTCTTCCAGGCAGACATTATCCTCTCTGCCTATTCCTCTGCAGCTCTTACAGTGATAATAGTTATTGCCTTTAGAAAGGCACTTGCGACTCTCAGGACTAGCTCTCTTGACTTATCCCAGGGCTATAAGGATCTTGCAACCAGCCAACAGGTCCGAGGACTCTGTCACTGGGATCTCTAATAAACCACACAGGACACCCAGTTACAAATGGAACTAACATACACAACATATTTATAAATGGATGGGGAAGACAATAAATAGCACAAAATATCTCTCCTGCCTGTAGAATTCGCAAATGCAAATCTACCTGAATATGCAAATTAACTAGCCTTGCTATTCAGTTAGTGCATATTGCTGTTGCTACCAACAGAGGGCATTAGACAGGCTCCATAGCCAAATCCACCTAGTTGGTAGCAATCCTCAGCAGTACAGGAGAGCAGACAAAACATTTAACAGTACATACACAGACATTATAAACACCCTGCACGCTGCACCTATAATGGGCACAGGATGACTGAGACATAGGAGCCATTTGGGAACCATTGTAAAGTGCCCTTCTGCTCCCAGTGATGGTGACTACCGTCACAGTGTTGATCTGTATGTCTGTGTATCTGTATGTGTGCCAGTGTTTATATATGTGTCTCAAAAGAGGACCCCAGCCATACAAAAGAGGCTAACCGTCTCAAACGTTGACGAAAACCACTACATTCGATATGTGTGACACGCAAACAGACTCTATTCATGCTGAAATAATCCAGATAATCGCAAGTGGCTAAAAGAGGGACAGAATTGAAAGTGCGGATCCTGTGACCCTTGGTGTTCGCTATAGTTAAGGTGACTCCCCTACCCCTGACTAATCTCCTTTTCCTATTCTCTCCCACACCCCCACTTATCTTGGATAATAACAGATAACTGAAGAATGTCAAAAACAAACAATAAGAATAATAAGGTATAAAGAAGTCAGATGGGCTGTATTTCACAGTTGTTTTATAAATAGAACTGTATTATAAATGGGACTTCTATGTGGTTCTTGAATGTACCCTTGGATCGTGACACTAACGCAAAGCTATTGTGCTCTTCTTTCTGTATTTTTCTGTTTATGAAAACACAAAATAAAGATTGTCAAAAAAAAAAAAAAAGTTTAGTCCACAATATGTAGCATAGGGATACACACAGTAGAGCTATGTGTATGGAAAGCACACAGCGGTCGCAGGGGTTCGCAGGGCGGCCGGGCCCCCTGGAGTGACGGGCCTGGTCGCAGCTGCGATCCCTATATGTACGCCACTGCACACAGACATAAAAGGCACACAATCAAACACTCCCTGTGGCTTACCATCCTGTTCCCGGGTGGTTCGGTGGAAGGCGTGCTTCTTTGTCTGCACCCACAGTAGGTGCAGACAGCTCCTTCCACCGCCGCAGTGGAAAGGATCAGAGCTTTGCCATGGCAATGCACAGTAATGCTCTGATAGTAGGATGGAGAATTTCAGACTCCCACTACTCAGGCGGCTGTGGATCATCACCCTTTGCCCTAAGTCGGCGCTAGAGAAAAGCCGACCCACTAGGAGCCAGACAGACTGTCGATCCCATGCGCCGGGCCTGGAACTCAGCCATTCTACATAAAATGAGTGTCAGGAGAAGAGCACTGTGCGTTTTACTCCCACAAGTCATCCGTAAATTTGCATCCCTAGGCTGATGTGCACTAAGGTGGCCACCTGTGACGATATCGCTGACCCTGTCAGCCGCACGCAGTCCAAGGCTTCAGACCGTTAGAGAAAGTTTTTTGGGTTAAACTGTAAATAGTTAAACACATTAAAGTGAGATGGTGCCATGGACCTCATCACACCATAAGAACGTCATTCTGATGAAGGTTTTATGGTGGCCGCAGTATCCCTTTAAAACCACAACCACATCTTGGAAAATTAGGTTGTTAATTTGCCTGTCATTTAAATGCTATTTTAATTTTCAATTGGATTTCATTTCCATAGACATCATGCAGTCAGACATTTTTACTACATCATAGATCATCAGGTTATATTGTGATGTCACAAACCAGATAACACATTGTGATGTCACTAAGCAGGTAACAGATAACCCTGTTACTGTCGTTTATACTGGCATTTCACAAGCAGTTTCATTGCAGTGAGATGATTTACAGAGACAATGGGTAACGTTATTTCTACGATTGAACGTCCCCTGGTTTCATGGCTGGCGGGTACTCAACCCCCACCCAGGAATTCTACTAAAAAAGAATTCAGAAAACAGCCAAACATCCAGCCTTCTACGGACAGGTAAGTGGATAGCGGCTGCAGGTATATTAGAAGATGGGGGTCAGAGTTTGATAAAGAGTAGAATAAAGGATGGTGTGTTAATGGGCATCATTTCTATAAATAACAGAACTTTCCTGTAGATTGAATTGTGTTGTCATTATATGAATGGGAGTAAAATCCTTAAAATGTGAATTTGTGTTTGATACTTGTTATTTTTCCTAACTGATGAGATAAAAAATGAACACAACAATGAATGTGTAGCTTAGCCCATTTGTAGTGATTGATATAAAATAGGCAGGCATTATACACGGGGGTGCAGAAAAAAAAGGAAAATATATAGGAATTAATGAAGGTGTTTTGAGTCCATAATCAGACAGGACCATCCTGGGATAAAATGAGTCTTGAAGAATCTCACAGGTTTTACACATTAAATCAAATTATTTAACCACTATAATACAACCCAAATAACAATGCATAATATATAATGACTTATTTTATCATCTCCCAAAATCATTTGGTTGTTCCAGAAATATGACCTCAAATGTGTGAAATTTGAAACTTCACTAATCATTTTCTCTTTCCTAAACAGGCTACCTCTTAAATCAGAGCCCCAGACATTCCCCCAATTATCATCTAATCTGGATATTTCTCCAGAAACTGAGAAGGGGAAGAGATGGGAGCCACGGGAGCAGAATGGTGGGTTTGTGGCAAAAATTCTAAAATGTTGCCAACAAGGCACAGAGAGACGTCGCCTTCCCCCTTCTGTTACATCTAAATTTGCTGTGCTTGATAAAAGGTAAATACTATATGATCACATTAACAAATTGCGATAATAACCTCTAGGCTGGGAGCTGTAAGAATTAGCCTGACCTTTTTTGTTTTTGTGTTTTTGTTCAAAAGCTTTAGACATTATGATACCTATGTCAGATATAGAAAAGAGGAGAAGAAACCTGATGTACCATACTATATTCGGGTGACTCCAAAAAAATCCAACTTGGAAATTCGTTATGCTCGACCACCTAGGTAAGTGTATCATGAGACACAGAATGACTGACCATAATCCTATAAGGTTATCCAAATAAAACTGCAGGGTCCTCAGTAAGCCAATACCCTGGTTCTCTCACTGGCTATCTGTGTACACAGGAAACCAATGAGAGAAGATCCACAGATAGATAAAGATGTCAATGGTCTTTCTAAGCCAACATAACAAATTTCTGAGGAGTACTACAGCAACTTGACTTACCAGGAATTACCTAATTTCTATAAGATATGTATTTTAATATAAACAGAAGCTTTAATGGTAAAAAGTAAACTATTTACTGAAATTACTGTAACCAGAATGTAATGTGCGTAACATAAATGATCTGATAGTGTCACTAACGGCTGTGCAATAATGACTGATAGATAACGAGTGATAGGGTAGCTGATGGACTGAAAGTAAGAGGAAAGCTGAAGAGGAATAAGATAAGTGACAAAATGGGCTGATGGATGGAAAGGGAGAAAAGGATATAATTGTTACAACTGTATTTTAACGTTTCCTATTTTAATTGCAGGGACCTATTCCTATTCTCTAAGGTGAAGCCTAAATTACTTCCAAAACAATACAAAACAACTAAAAAGGCTGAAAGTGTAAATTATTGTGCAGAGTGTCATAAACAGGATAATATTCTACAGCCTGAACATGTCACAGGTCTAGAGGATATTCCTTATCGGCCTTCTACGGACAGGTAAGTGGACAATTGCTGCAGGTATATTAGATGGGGTTATTGGAAGATGGGGTCAGAGTTCGACAGAGATTAAATTAAAGGATGATTTGTTAATGGGCATCATTTCTGTAAATACCAGAACTTTCCAGTAGATTTACATTTGTAGTGATGGAATTTGAAATAAAATAAGCAGGCATGATATACAGGGGTGTTAAAAAAAAAAAAAGTAAAATATATTGGAATTAAAGGGACACCATAGTCACCAGAACAATTACAGCTTAATGTAGTGGTTCTGGTGTCTATAGTCTGTCCCTGCAGGTTTTTTTTTTTTTGTGAATAAAATGTGTTTACATTGCTCCTTAGGGTCACCTCCAGTGGCAGTCACCCAGACAGCCACTATAGGTGCTTCCTATGGCAGTGCTGCAGAGTGTGTAGCACTGACATTCAGCATCTCCACTCTCTGCATGGAGACACTGAACATTCTTATCAAGATGCATCAATTTATGATTGGCCATGGCAGCATTGCCTTCGCCCCCAGCATGCCTCCTTGGCTGAGATAATCAAAATTGACTAACTCAGTCAATCCAATTCTTTCTTAAGGTAAAGCATTGGATTGGCTGAGATCATCAATTCTGAGTTGGAAAAAAGGTGAAATGTAACCTTTACTTTAGGGGGGCTAAGGCCCTAAATAGTGATATTAAAACTATAGTGTCAGGAATACATATTTCTGTTTCTGACACAATAATGCCCCATTTATTAAATGTGTTTTGAGACCCCAAATAGACAGCACCATCCTGGGATGAAATGCATGATGTAATTAGTCCAGACGTATCAAAGGTTTTACACATCAAATTGAATTATTTAATCGTTAGAATACAACCCAAATAGCAATGCATAATATCTCATGGCTTCTTGTATCATCTCCTAAACACACTCTGTTATTCCAGAGATATAACATCAATTTATTAATGACCTTTTTGTTTTCTGGTGTGTTTTTCTTCAAAATCTTTAGACATTATAATAACTATGTCAGATTTGGAAAAGAGGAGAAGATTCCCGATGTACCATACTATATTCGGGTGACTCCAAGAGAAACTAACCAACTAATGACATGTGCTCGGCCACCTAGGTAAGTGTATCATGAGACACAGAATGACCGACCATAATCCAATAAGGTTATCCAAATAAACCTTCAGGGTCCTCAGTAAACCAATATCTTGGTTCTCTTACTGGCTGGCTGTGTACACAGGAAACCAATGAGAGAATAAACACAGATAGAGAAAGATGTCAATGTTCTTTCTGAGCCAACATCACAAATCTCAAATTGGAAAATTTAATCATTACAATATGACCCAAATAATAACCTGTAATATATAATGGCTTCTTCTATCATTTTCTAAACACACTCAGTTATTACCGAAATATAACATCAAACGTGAAATATGAAACTCCAATAATCACTCTTTCTTTCCTAAACAGGCTACCACTTAAAGCAGAGCCCCAGACATTCCCCCAAGTATCACCTAATCTGGAAATCTCTCCAGAACCTGAGAAAGGGAAGAGATGGGAGCCACAGGAACAGAATGAGGGGTTTGTGGAAGAAAGTCTAAAATGTTGCCAAAAAACCACAAAGAGACTTTGCCTTCCCCCTTCTGTTACATCTAAATTTGCTGTGCTTGATAAAAGGTAAATACTGTGTGATCACATTAATCAAAGGGGAGACATCTTTTTGTTTTCTATTGTTGATGTTTGTTTTAACAAATTGAGATTTTAGCCTCTCCACCGGGTGCTGGAAGAATTAGCCTGACCTTTTGTTTTTTTGTGTGTTTTTCTTCAAACCCTTTAGACATTATAATAACTATGTCAGATTTGGCAAAGAGGAGAAGATTCCCGATGTACCATACTATATTTGGGTGACTCCAAGAGAAACTAACCAACTAATGACATATGCTCGGCCACCTAGGTAAGTGTATCATGAGACACAGAATGACTGACCATAATCCAATAAGGTTATCCAAATAAACCTTCAGTGTCCTCAGTAAACCAATACCCTGGTTCTCTCACTGGCTGTCTGTGTACACAGGAAACCAATGAGAGAAGAACCACAGATAGAGAAAGATGTCAATGCTCTTTCTGAGCCAACATCACAAATCTCAAATTGGAATATTTAATCATTACAATACAACCCAAATAGCAATGCATAATATCTAATGGCTTCTTGTATCATCTCCTAAACACACTCTGTTATTCCAGAAATATAACATCAATTTATTAATGACCTTTTTGTTTTCTGGTGTGTTTTTCTTCAAAATCTTTAGACATTATAATAACTATGTCCGATTTGGCAAAGAGGAGAAGATTCCCGATGTACCATACTATATTCGGGTGACTCCAAGAGAAACTAACCAACTAATGACATGTGCTCGGCCACCTAGGTAAGTGTATCATGAGACACAGAATGACCGACCATAATCCAATAAGGTTATCCAAATAAACCTTCAGTGTCCTCAGTAAACCAATATCTTGGTTCTCTTACTGGCTGTCTGTGTACACAGGAAACCAATGAGAGAATAAACACAGATAGAGAAAGATGTCAATGCTCTTTCTGAGCCAACATCACAAATCTCAAATTGGAATATTTAATCATTACAATATGAGCCAAATAATAACCTGTAATATATAATTGCTTCTTCTATCATTTCCTAAACACACTCAGTTATTCCAGAATATTAGAGATTTTAGTCTCTCCACTGGGTGCTGGAAGAATTAGCCTGACCTTTTGTTTTTTTGTGTGTTTTTCTTCGAACCCTTTAGACATTATAATAACTATGTCAGATATGGAAAAGAGGAGAAGATTCCCGATGTTCCATACTATATTCGGGTGACTCCACAAGAAACTAACCAACTAATGACATATGCTCGGCCACCTAGGTAAGTGTATCATGAGACACAGAATGACTGACCATAATCTTATAAGGTTATCCAAATAAACCTTCAGTGTCCTCAGTAAACCAATACCCTGGTTCTCTCATTGGCTGTCTGTGTACACAGGAAACCAATGAGAGAAGAACCACAGAAGCTTTAATGGTACAAAGTAAACTATTTACTGGAATTACTGTAACCAGAATGTAATGTGCGTAACAATGATCTGATAGTGTCACTAAAAGATGTACAATAATGACTGATAGATAACGAGTGATAGGGTAGCTGAAGGACTGAAAGTGAGAGGAAAGCTGAAGAGGAATAAGATAAGTGACAAAATGGGCTGATGGATGGAAAGGGAGAAAAGGATATAATTGTTACAACTGTATTTTAACTTTTCCTATTTTTTAATTGCAGAGACCCATTCCTATTCTCTAAGGTAAAGCCTAAATTACTTCCAAAACAATATAAAACAACTAAAAAGGCTACAAATGTCCAAGAAAAAGAAGTAGACAAAAAAGAACTGGAAAATGAAAAAAAGTATTCTGCAGAGTATTGTAAACACAATATTATTCCACAGCCTGAAGCGGTCACAAGTCTAGAGGATATTCCCTGTCACTTGCTGCAGGCAAGGTCTCTAGAGCCTACAGAGATTATCACACATCTAGAAGACAACACTTCTCTAGAATGTCCTGTTTCTACTATTGAACCTCATACAAGTGGATTAACAGAGGAATTGTCAGTAAACCTTGTTCAGACACAGTTCACTTTAGGTTGTCCACATGAGCCTACAAATCTAGATTCTCAGAACCCACTTACAGCTCTTTTACTACAGTCCACCTTTCTAGAGCCTACAGAGGTTATCACACATCTAGAAGACAACACTTCTCTAGAATGTCCTGTTACTACTATCGAACCTCATACAAGTGGATTAACAGAGGAGTTGCCAGTAAACCTTGGTCAGCCACAGTCCACTTTAGGTTGTCCATGTGAGCCTACAAATCTAGATTCTCAGAACCCAGTTACAGCTATTTTACTACAGCCTACCTCTCTAGAGCCTACAGAGGTTATCACACATCTAGAAGACAACACTTTTCTAGAATGCCCTGTTACTACTATCGGACCTCATACAAGTGGATTGATAGAGGAGTTGCCAGTAAACCTTGGTCAGCAACAGTCCACTTTGGATTGTCAACCTGAGCCTATGAACCTAGATTCCCGGGAGGCTGTCAAAGATCAAGATCCAGGTATTCTGTTAGTGGGCCCAGTTTGTCCTGCCAAATCAGGCACTAGTGAAATGTTAGAGGAGCTGCCTGTAAACCTTGGTCAGCCACAGTCCACTTTGGATTGTCAACCTGAGCCTATGAATCTACATTCTCGGGAAGCTGTCAAAGATCAAGATCCAGGTATTCTTCTAGTGGGCCCAGTTTGTCCTGCCAAATCAAGCACTGGTGAAATGTTAGAGGAGTTACCAGTAAGCTCTGACATTGTGAGTTATCACTCCAAAACTACTTTGGATTGCCCCACTGTTCAGCCAGAGGAGTTGCTTCTATTCAATCAAAAGGTTACGCCTGAGCAGGAACAAACTGAGATGAAGAATAATCAGCCAGGAAAACATGTGTGTCTGAGTAGTGACCATGAAGAGCAGCCATTGCCAGAAGACAAAGAAAAAGAGCCACCTGGTGAGGCTGATATAGTTCGAAAGAAAAGTCAAGACCTTCCAGTACCTGTACTCCAAGAGAAGAAAAATATTGAATCAAAGGTGGAAAGGATACACTATGACAGGGAATCTTTACTTAAATTCAAATCTATAACACAAGAGCCAAGGGATTTGTCTGAGATTGCAAAACTCTACCAAGGTATGCTCATTAGACCTCACCTTCGACCAGTAGATCCATCACGATTTACCAACAGGAAATGTACACCTCTAACTGCAAATTTCATCCACCCTGCTAAGGATAATTACAGACTGCCATGTGGAATGGGCCAAATGAGGTCCCCGCAAGCTCCTAGTACAGAACTTCGCAAAATCCTTCAAGTAAGTGAGAATATAAAACCGCATACATCTGAAAAGGCTTGGAAACCTCCCATGAAAAGAGCAAATGAAGATCACACTCTTGCCAAGGCTCAAGAATTGGTTCGCAAAGTTCGCAGCATTCTAAATAAAATCACACCTCAGACATTCCAGCACTTAACCAAGCAGGTGAAAGACCTCTCTATACATACAGAATATCAACTGAAAGGTGTTGTAGAAGTCATCTTTGAAAAAGCAGTAGCAGAGCCACATTTTGCTGTTGTATACGCCAGCATGTGCAACTGGCTAATGATGCTTGAGGTCCCAACGGAAGACAACCCTGAAGAAAGCATTACATTCCGTAGGCTGCTAATAAGACTCTGCCAGAAGGAGTTTGAGAAAGTTGAAAATGGGAATGAAAAAACTGAGAAACTGCAAAAGGAACTGGATGCTGCCACATCACCGAGGGAAAAGGCCCTACTAAAAGACGAATTAAGTGATGCTTGTAATAAAGCACGCAGGCGATACCAAGGAAACATCAAATTTATTGGGGAGCTATTTAAGCTAAAATTTCTCTCTGAAGACACCATGAAAGACTGCCTAATGAAACTACTAAACAGGAACAGCGAGGAGTCCATCGAATGTATCTGCATTTTGCTCACTACAACTGGAAAATCCTTGGAAAATGGACAGTGTCGCTTGGACAACTATATCAGCAAGATTGACATCTTTATTAAAAACCAGAAAACCTCTTCGCGGATTCGATTTTTGGTGCAGGATATGATGGAATTAAGAAAAAATAACTGGGTACCTCGACATACACCTCAGGGACCGAAAACAATAGAGCAAATTCATAAAGAGGTAGAACTGGAATCTAGACGAAAAGAGCAGTGAAACAAACAAAAAGGCTACTCATTGCAAGGACACATGGATAAACACAACGTATGAACAGGGACGAGGCTGCAGATTCATTCACATAAATACATTCAAAATCATTCAGGCAGCAACACCAACTTTTATGCACAAAGAAACACATATACACAAGCACAAACATTTATCAAAGACAAATTCAGACAATCCTGCAAAGTCAAACACAAACAGTCATACACTGCCTATCGGTAGGTTAAACACTTGAGCAAACAAAATATTTATTCAGATACAAAGGCAATCCCATGTTATGAAACAAACACATTAACGGTGGCATAAAAACATGATTTAGAATTGCACTTGGTAGTGTCATCATTGCCAAATAAAATACACAGTGAAACTCACATTAACACCATGCATGGTTCACTGGCCTTCACACTTATCAGAACCACTTTTGTTTTCCTACACACATATTTTGTAGATTGTTAATTTTATTAAAACAATAAAGTATATATTTTTTAAATTTATCCTGTTATACTGATGTCGGTTTGTTCTTTGGAGTGTTTTATTTCCGTGGCCGGTGCTAGGTTTCAAATATAACTATAGATTCAGTCCATACTATATCTCACAGACACCTTCCTAAGGCCTCATCCCCTGGTTTCTTTGTAGCTGTATAGTACACACTCCCTTAAAGGAATCCTCCAAGCACCAGCAGTCTGCAGTGGTTATAGTACCTGGAGTGCCCTATTGCCCTCACAGGATAAGTAGTCAAACTTTTTGTGACAGAGAACATCCACTTGTGGCCCAGAATCTCCTGCATTGAGCGAAATCAGTGGTCCAGGGCTCAGCTCATTGGTTGAGAGAGCTCAGCTGACTCCCTCAGCCAGCAGGCTTAAAAAAGTGGAGTTAATGGAAGCTCCTTCTTTGACTACTTACACTGGGGGTGCGAGGGCACTCCTAGTACCATAACTACTGGAGCAGACTGGTTAAGGTGTTGCAAATATTCCTTTAAACCCTTTCAGGGCTGGAGTAGAAATAGTGAATTGTTGTGGAGTAAACTAATGCACGGCATTAAAGGGTTAAGCTGTGCCGGCTGTTGATCTATGTCTCCCTTGTTGTAGTCCATTGGACATTAATATTAGGGAGTTAAATGATTAATTTTATGTTGTTAAAACCAAGGCACATATTTGATGAACATTTTTTGGGTTATTCACTACAGTATGGCTTTAAAGTAAATTTCAATTTAAGGACAAAATAGCCAAATTGGAAGCATAGCTGTCTTGGAGAATGCTTCCATTTCCGCTTTTTGGCCTCGAATGTGAATTTCACTTTGAATTCCCAGTAATTCTCACTTTAGTGCATAACTCTGAAAGGATCCATACTCACTGGCAGACTGAGAACCATCTGTGTTTTCTGTAATTACTATCACAGCAAGTTGCCCCACGTGTATTTGGAGAGACAATGAAAATCATAAATGTTTCAGGTGAAATCCCCTTTAATTATGTACAAAGCCATTATTGTACTTTCATAAAGAATTATCAGAAAACATTTATGTTGCATATTGCTACTCCCAATAAATGTGGAGTGAAATTAGTGCATCTTTAAAGGACCACTATAGGCACCCAGACCACTTCAGCTTAATGAAGTGGTTGGGGTGCCATGTCCATCTAGTGTTAACCCTGCAGCTATAAACATAGCAGTTTCTGAGAAACTGCTATGTTTACACTGAGGGTTAATCCAGCCTCTAGTAGCTGTCTCATTGACAGCTGCTAGAGGCGCTTCCGCGATTCTCACTGTGAAAATCACAGTGAGAAGATGCTGTACATCCATTGTCTATGGACTGATTGAATGCGCGCATGGCTCTTGCCGTGTATGCGCATCTAGCGGATAACGTCGGAAGAGGAAGGAGAGTCCACCGGCGCTGGAGAAAGGTAAGTGTTTAACCCCTTCCTCCCCCTTTAGCCCGGTGGGAGTGGGACCCTGAGGGTTGGGGGGACCTATTAACACTAAAGAGCCAGGAAAACAAGTTTGTTTACCTGGCACTATAGTGGTCCTTTAATATTCTATTTGCACTTTTAGCTATTTGTCCTGGCTTCATACTGTAAATTGCATTGTAAGAACCAAACAGTGATACTGCTAATGGCTATATTTGGCAGCATAGGGGCAATCGTATCTTTCAGGTACCACATTCACTTGCTATATTTTTCATTTTGAATTGATGTGTCTATGATTTCAATTATTTTTCGAAAGTTATATTGCAAATATTGCAAGGAGTGAATTATAATTTTAAAGCTAAATATTTGCAAAATGTATCATCAGTGAACTATATGTTTTACAGCAATCACCAAATTCAATAGTGCTATACAAAGTAAATAAATGTAAAAGTTAGAGCCGCCCAGCCGTGCCAGAACTGAGTGTTATATAGTTAGCACGTTGTGCTTTCCACAGAGACATTTCAATTCAAGGTGAATTTCACAGACCTACCATGTACCATTACAGTACATACTGTAGCTTTTTATTTATGGGAAGTTATAGGGTTATATTAGGGTCGTGTCATTTTCAGTGTTGCAATTTTGACAATTTGTTTTATTGGACCCACGTGATTATTTTTTTAGAAAAAATTGCATTCCCGAACAGTACTTTATTCCCATTGGGGCATTTTGTTTGCAAAATAAGACAAACTGAGTCTTTTTCAAGGCTTTTTATTTCATCACCAATTTCTTTATATATTTTTTTTTATTGTAAAAAATAAATTATTTTGGTGTGCAAGTCAAAAATAGAAATGACAATACACATACATATAGTTTAGCAATTAAAACCACTGATAACAATTTATCACCATTTACAAGGCGACATTGAGAGCATATATAAATGATAACCACAATGCAGTCAGGAAGCTCGCACGATGATAAATTAAGGTTTCTGTAGGGTCAGTGTTAAACAGAGTGCTGCACATTATGAGCTATACTACCAGGAACAGAGCCAATCCTAGGCGGGTGTACGGATTAGTCTCTACTCCCAAATTAGGCTCCGCATTCTGCGCCAGAGACCACCAGGAATCAGGATTCCTGCCTCCCTAGCCCAAGCTAAGCATCAGAGTGGGGGGAATAAACTACAGTTTATTTTTCTACCCTACTAAAGCCCCATAATCCCAAATTGCAGCTCCTAACTCCCGTACTACAGCCCCTAACATTCTTACAACAGCCTCCAACCCCACTACTACAGTCCCTTACACCCACTGCAGCCCCTATCTCACACTACAGCCCTACCAGTGGCATACACACAACCCATGGGGCCCCGGTGCAAAAGTAATCCATGCTCTCGCCCCTCCCTCTCCCCCCCTCTCCCGACAGACACACACACACACATACAGAGACACACACACAGTTGACAGATACATACAGACACATACATACACACACGACACACACACACATGACACATACGAACAGACAGACAGAGACAGACATACACACACATGACAAGCATACATACAAATTCACATACATACAAACAGACAGACAGGCACACATACATACAGAAAAGACACACTTACATACATACCAACAGACAGACACAGACATACACATACACACATACAGATAGACACACACACACACACACAAGACACACACATATAAAGACACATACATACATACATAAAAAAGGACAGGCACACAGACAGACACACACACACAAATACAGACACACACACAAGGCACACATACATACAAAGACACATACATACAGACAGACACACACACACAAGACATATATAAAAGACACATACATACAAACAGACAGGCACACATACATACAGACAGGTAGACACAGATACATACATACAAACAAACACACACACACACACACACACATAATATTTAATTCACCCTCCTGTTTCCTACCTTTTAGGTGCAGGAGAGTGACTTTCCCTGGGGTCCAGTGGTGGCTCAGGTTGACGGGAGTCAGAGTTCCCAGTGATAGCTGGGAGGAGTGATGGGGAGTCACTTCCTCCCAGCGTGTGGGGGGCCCGGTTGCGCTGTTAAAACACCACATCGCTGACAGAGCCCCTTGAAAATCCATACCCATCGGGTGGCCCTGACAGCATGGGCCACCCGATGGGCACCTTAACAAGCGGCCTCAGCGCAGGGGTCTGTAGGTACGCCAGCGAGCCCTACCCCTAAACGTAGCCCTTAGAGTCTCTATAATCCAATTCCAGCCCATATCCTCCCCACTACAGGCCATATCCCTCACACTACACCCCTATCCTCCACTGTTAGCCCTTATTCCTTACTACAACCGCCATTCCCTTACTACAATTCCTAAATCCACTACAGTCCCTCCCCTCCTCTCTACAAACCATCTCCCCCAATTGCAGCCCTTACCTCCCACACTATAGGCCCATCTCCACACTTCAGTCCCTAACCCCCACTACATTTTCTAACCCACTAATTTCAGCCCATACCCTCCACTACAGCTCCTACTTCTCCACAACAGCTTTTTCAACCAACCAATCAGAGTGTTGTTATTAGTCAAATTACGCAGCGTGGGAAAATTCCAAAGCATTTTCCCTCACTGTGTAAAATGACACAGAGCACTATGACCAATCAGAGTGCTGTGACAGGTAAATGTAGAGACTTGGGGGCGGAGCTTACCAGCCGAGCGAGCCAGAAGCACATGGCGAGAGCTCCCATATCTGAAACCTTGATTCTGGGCATTACGCCCAACCACCGGATCGTGCCGGCAGCAGACAACCATCCTCATATCCAGAAGGGGATGCTGAGTCCGGAGATACCTGATCCGGGGCTCCCCGCCCACACCACAACCCGCGGCCTGCACGGGTGGGAGCCGCGGAGACACGGCCGCTCTCCCGGTTCTCAGGCTGAAGAGGGGACACTCACACACTGCTCCCCCCCCCCCATGGACCGGCGGGGATATCCCGGTCCCCGCCAGTATGGAAAACTACAAGTCGAGACATCATAGCAGCCGCTGAACTTTCAAGAAGAATGGAAGCGGCGGTGCCCAAGATGGCGGACAAGCCGAGCTTCACTACATGTGGCCTGATGCAGCCACAACACAGCATAGAAAGGCACACCGCGAAAGAGATAAAGATGGCGAAACCTGGAACAAGCAGCACCCTTGCCATTCCACCCAGACACACTCAGGAGTTCTTTGACCTACTCTGCACCAGCTTAGGGTCAAAACTCCAATATAAAGGCCGGCCCTTCAAACAAGCGGTCCAAGCGGTAGCAGCATGGGTCTGACCAGCTACCCGACGGCAACTGTGTGAGTACCCACAGCGAGCCCCCAGGGCAGTCTCCAGAAGGGGACGAAGCCAGAGAGCGAAGCAGCGAGTGGCGATGGCTTGCCCCTCAGGCGCCAGCACTCACCCTTTCAAACGTCCACAACCAGCAGAGAAAACCTCCGGAAAATCGACTGACCAGCCCCAGCAATGCCTCAACGCACGCAGACAAGCCGGGAGGCCAGCTCAAGCGGCCGCTCACAGCCAGAATCGTACAGCCGCAACACAGGAGACAACTTCCACACGGAAAGCCTCGGACTGTTCTCAGACCTATGCCAAAAGCCTGCCGACCTCTGGTATAGGGTGAATGGGGACACTTGCAACAAGCTGGCATACTGATCTGATACTATGCCTACTGTCCCCGAGGGGAAACTGTCCGACTATATGAGGAGTACCTCACTCGACTACTCTTTAGGCTATGTGATTCCACTCAGGTTACCCATCTATGAACAAGCTTTTATAAATGCTCTATAGTTTGCTTTTCATATGCTTCTTCTTTGTTTTTCTTTAAGTCACATATCTATGTGTTCCCTGCCGGGCTCACAGCCCATAAGCCTCCTTATGCAAAGGGCCTCAATTAATGAATTAGTTAATCTCGTTGGCATGCTGGACTGGGGGCAAGTTAAATGCTACACATAAGCCGAGAGCAAAATTAGCGAGGGTAAACCAGCCTGTTAACGTGAGTATAATACTCAGACAAGCTGCTCGAGACCACCTTGTTCAACATTCTGTTCATCACACCACCAGTTAGATATGCATATGTTCACTGCCTACTGATAAACACAGCTCGGTAGATGATGTCCTGGAGGTATAAAGTTAATGATAGTCTCAGTTATGCTATAGACCTTGCAATTTAATATATTTCCCAGTATGTAGCTGCCTGAAAATACACAATGTCTTAGGCTTGATAACCTACACATCGCAGCTCATTCTGGCTATAACTGTTGAATATACCGGTTTAAATCTAAAAAAAAAAAAGTGCATGTATACTCGACTACCCCATTGTTATATATGTCTCAATAACGCATGAGGATTGCCGTTGGGGTACCTCACATGCGTCTGTTCACTTAATATGCACTGTAAAAATAAAGAATAAAAAAAAAAAAATGTAGAGACTTACCTGTCAGTCTCTTCATTTACCTGTCAGAGCACTCTGATTGGATGGCTTAAACCAACCAACCAGAGTGCTCTGAGCCTAATTGCAGGGTGGGGCAAGGCTTTATAAGCCTTCCCCCACCAAGCAGAACTCAGTCTGCACGGTGCCCTCCACGGGTGAAGATGGATTACTTTTTTTGAACTCAGGTTTTTTTTTTTTCATCAAAGTGCGAAGATTATTATGGATTTTTATTTGGCCTGTTTTGAGGCTGAAAAAAGAAAATTTTAGAAAAAAAGAAAACATCAAATGGTACTTTTTTAAAAATTTTTTTACAGATACCTAGTTATAGGTCCCCCCTCATTATTTTTAGGGTGAGGGGGGTAGGTAGGGGTTAATTAATAGATCCCCCCCTTATTCTAACTTGGGGCCCCCACCCACCGCTCAGGGGTGAGGGCCAGGGGGGAGGACAATAGGTCCCCCCCTTTATTGGTATTTAGGGCCCCCACCCACCACTCAGGGGTGAGGGCCGGAGGGGAGGACAACAGGTCGTCCCCCTTATTCTAGTTTAGGGCTCCCACCCACCGTTTAGGGGTGGGGTCCAGGGGGAGGACAATAGGTCCCACCCCTTATTCTAATTTAGAGCCCCCACTCACTGCTCACGGTTGTAGGCCGGGGGGAGGACAACAGGTCCCCCTCCTTAGTCTAGTTTAGGGCCCCCACCCACCGTTTAGGATTAGGGGCCAGGGGGAGGACAATAGGTCCCATCCCTTATTCTAATTTAGGGCCCCTACCCACCGCTCAGGGGTGGGGGCCAGGGGAGAGGACAATAGGTCCCCCTCCCCATATTCTCATTTAGGGCCCCCACTCACCGCTGAGGGGTGTGGGCCAGGTGGGAGGACAACAGGTCCCCCTCCTTATTCTAATTTAGGGTCCCCATCCACCGCTCAGGGTGGGGGCCGGGGGGGAAGGAAAATAGCTCGCCCCCCCTTTTTTTTTTACTTTAGGGCCCCCACCTGCTGCCCAGAGGTGGGGACCAGGGGGGGAGGGGGCAATAGGTCCCCCTATAGGTTAGAAGCCCCCACTCATGCGGCACGGGTGGGGGCTCGGGAGGGGGCCACAGGCTGCTCACTGTTTACTAGACATACCACTACTCGCGGCTTGAATATACCGTGGGAATTAGGGAGTTATCTACTTACTCATTCCCATCCATTGAATGGCTAAGTAACTTACATTTTATATGAATGTGTTACTTGATTGTTGTAAGTGTTGCAAATGCTTACAAATACTGTACAACAACAAAGTGCAAATACAGTGTAGGGCGCCACTATCACAAACACAGTGATGTGTATAATTACCAGCAGAATGATGAGCTTCTAGAACTCACATAAAAATAAATATCATAGTGCAAAACAGCTTTAATTTACAATAGATAAAGACAGGATAAAAATGGAACACTCACAAATAAAATGGCACAATTGACATAAATCAATATGTGCAGAAGCGCATTTTAGCCTGTAATAGGCTCTAACCCCAGATGCAGCAGTCTTTATGGAGGTTTCAGCGATTCAGTCTCATTGATTCTGATACCTCTAGCTGCCGAAGACTTTCCTGGGCTGTATACGTGCTATATATATTATGCGTTTTCTGTCCTCCTGGGGGGCTCCATCACCTGTACCCGCTGTCGACCTAGGTGTCGCCCCCAAACTTGTCGTCCTGCCCGTACTGATGGCAGGGGCGCTAACCATGGCCTGTCAGTCTGTCCCTCGTGGGGCCTACCCCCTCGGGAGCCGCGCAGTTCTTTGGCCTGCACGCGCATGGCCCGCCCTGATGTCTTAGCTCCCCTCGCTCTGCGCCCCGGGCCTGAGCGGCCCCCTGTCCTGATCGTCCCTACTCCCTCAGATAAAGACAATGGAACACGGGGGCCCGACTCACCCAGTGTAGGACCGTCTGCAGTCGGCAAAGAATCCATCCGGCAGCACTCCTCGACCTTCTCAAGCCTGCCGTTGAGGTGCGGCGCCCCCAGAGAGTTGTCCCGCAATCCGCCGTGGGGCGCGGCGATACCTTTGCCATCATCCCACCGTCCGCCTCAGGGCGCGGTGTCGCCTCACTTGCGCCGGCAGCCATGTCTGGCGCTAGACCCTCCTGGTCACGTGCCAGCCCGCTCTGTCTCTGACCCCTGACTCCGCTCCCATCCGCAGGCCCTGCCTTTGGTCTCCTCTTCTGTCGCCTCCTGGGAACTGCACTGGGGCTCAAACGCTGGGGCGGCCTTGTCCACCTCGTGGGCCGGCGTGACGGCGCTGAAGAAGGCCCGGCAATGGGAGCCATCGAAGTCAGGCAGTCCTGAAGCCAAGTGAGTCCTCTCTCCCGAACGGCAGACTGAATTCCTTCCATCAAGGCCTCCATGCTGTGTGCTTTCCTCCGGCAGGTCATACGGAAATTTTCATCCCCGGGCCGATGTGTCCTAAGGTGGCCATCTGTCACACCTTCTGATAGCACTGGCCCTGTCAGCGGCACCCAGTCCAAGGCTTCAGACCTTTAGAGGAAGTGTTTGGGGTTAAACTGTTAATGGTTTAACACCTTAAGGTGAGATGGTGCCATGGACCTCATCACAACATAACAACGTTATTGTGATGAAGGTGTTATGGTGGCTGGAGTATCCCTTAAAGCCACAACCACAACTTGAAAAATTAGGTTGTTTATTTGCCTGTCATTTAAATGCTATTTTAATTTTCAATTGGATTTCATTTCCATAGACATCATGCAGTCAGACATTTTTACTACATCATAGATCATCAGGTTATATTGTGATGTCACAAACCAGATAACACATTGTGATGTCACTAAGCAGGTAACAGATAACCCTGTTACTTCCGTTTATACTGGCATTTCACAAGCAGTTTCATTGCAGTGAGATGATTTACAGAGACAATGGGTAACGTTATTTCTACGATTGAACGTCCCCTGGTTTCATGGCTGGCGGGTACTCAACCCCCACCCAGGAATTCTACTAAAAAAGAATTCAGAAAACAGCCAAACATCCAGCCTTCTACGGACAGGTAAGTGGATAGCGGCTGCAGGTATATTAGAAGATGGGGGTCAGAGTTTGATAAAGAGTAGAATAAAGGATGGTTTGTTAATGGGCATCATTTCTATAAATAACACAGCTTTCCTGTAGATTGAATTGTGTTGTCATTATATGAATGGGAGTAAAATCCTTAAAATGTGAATTTGTGTTTGATACTTGTTATTTTTCTTAACTGATGAGATAAAAAATGAACACAACAATGTGTGTAGCTTAGCCCATTTGTAGTGATTGATATAAAATAGGCGGGCATTATATACGGGGGTGCAAAAAAAAAGGAAAATATATAGCAATTAATGAAGGTGTTTTGAGTCCATAATCAGACAGGACCATCCTGTGATGAAATGAGTCTTGAAGAATTTCACAGGTTTTACACATTAAATCAAATTATTTAACCATTGCAATACAACCCAAATAACAATGCATAATATATAATGATTTATTTTATCATTTCCTAAACACACTCAGTTATTTCAAACACAAAACATCAAATGTGTGAAATATGAGACTTCACTAATCATTTTCTCTTTCCTAAACAGGCTACCTCTTAAATCAGAGCCCCAGACATTCCCCCAATTATCATCTAATCTGGATATTTCTCCAGAAACTGAGAAGGGGAAGAGGTGGGAGCCACGGGAGCAGAATGGTGGGTTTGTGGCAAAAATTCTAAAATGTTGCCAACAAGGCACAGAGAGACGTCGCCTTCCCCCTTCTGTTACATCTAAATTTGCTGTGCTTGATAAAAGGTAAATACTATATGATCACATTAACAAATTGCGATAAAAACCTCTAGGCTGGGTGCTGGAAGAATTAGCCTGACCTTTTTTGTTTTTGTGTTTTTGTTCAAAAGCTTTAGACATTATGATACCTATGTCAGATATAGAAAAGAGGAGAAGAAACCTGATGTACCATACTATATTCGGGTGACTCCAAAAAAATCCAACTTGGAAATTCGTTATGCTCGGCCACCTAGGTAAGTGTATCACGAGACACAGAATGACTGACCATAATCCTATAAGGTTATCCAAATAAAACTGCAGGGTCCTCAGTAAACCAATACCCTGGTTCTCTCACTGGCTGTCTGTGTACACAGGAAACCAATGAGAGAAGATCCACAGATAGAGAAAGATGTCAATGTTCTTTATGAGCCAACATCACAAATTTCTGAGGAGTACTACAGCAACTTGACTTACCAGGAATTACCTAATTTCTATAAGATATGTATTTTAATATAAACAGAAGCTTTAATGGTACAAAGTAAACTATTTACTGTAATTACTGTAACCAGAATGTAATGTCCGTAACATAAATGATCTGATAGTGTCACTAACGGCTGTGCAATAATGACTGATAGATAACGAGTGATAGGGTAGCTGATGGACTGAAAGTGAGAAGAAAGCTGAAGAGGAATAAGATAAGTGACAAAATGGGCTGATGGATGGAAAGGGAGAAAAGGATATAATTGTTAGAACTGTATTTTAACGTTTCCTATTTTAATTGCAGGGACCCATTCCTATTCTCTAAGGTGAAGCCTAAATTACTTCCAAAACAATACAAAACAACTAAAAAGGCTGAAAGTGTAAATTATTGTGCAGAGTGTCATAAACAGGATAATATTCTACAGCCTGCACCTGTCACAAGTCTAGAGGATATTCCTTATCGGCCTTCTACGGACAGGTAAGTGGACAATTGCTGCAGGTATATTAAATGAGGTTATTGGAAGATGGGGATCAGAGTTCGATAGAGATTATATTAAAGTTTGGTTTGTTAATGGGCATCATTTCCTTAAATAACAGAACTTTACAGTAGATCTAATAATGTTATCTCTAAATGAATGGTAGTAATCTATGCGGTAAAATGCTTAAAATTGAATTTGAGTTACACCTTTTAGCTATTTTTCTAAACAGATGAGATAAAAGATCAAAAAAAGATCAAATCCATGAATATGTGCAGCCTAGCTCATTTGTAGTGATGGAAATTGAAATAAAATAAACAGGCATGATATACAAGGGTGTAAAAAAAAAAAAAAGAAAAGTTAAATATATGTGAATTAAAGGGTCACTATAGACACCAGAACAACTACAGCTTAATGTACAAAATGTGTTTACATTGCTCCCTAGGGACACCTACAGTGGCAATCACTCAGGCAGCCACTATAGGTGCTTGCTGTGGCAATGCTGCAGAGTGTGCAGCACTGACATTCAGCGTCTCCACGCGCTTCATGAAGACACTGAGCATTCCTCTTCGAGATGCATCAATTTATGATTGGCCAGGACAGCGTTGCCTCCGCCCCCAGCATGCCTTCTTGGCTGGGATCATTAAAATTTACTAACTCAGTCAATCCAATGCTTTCTAAAGGTAAAGCATTGGATTGGCTGAGATCATCAATTCTGTTTATCAGCCAAGGAGGCAGTTTAGGGATGGAGCCCTGCGTGGCGCTGGAAAAAAGTGAGTTTAAACCCTTTTACTTTCATGACAGGGGGCTGAGGCACTAAATAGTAATATTAGAACTATAGTGTCAGGAATACATATTTGTTTTTCTGACACAATAATGCCCCTTTATTAAATGTGTTTTGAGACCCCAGCACTATCCTGGGCTGAAATGCAGGATGTAATTATTCCAGACGTGTCAAAGGTTTTACACATCAAATTGAATTATTTAATCGTTAGAATACAACCCAAATAGCAATGCATAATATCTAATGGCTTCTTGTATCATCTCCTAAACACACTCTGTTATTCCAGAGATATAACATCAATTTATTAATGACCTTTTTGTTTTCTGGTGTGTTTTTCTTCAAACCCTATAGACATTATAATAACTATGTCCGATTTGGCAAAGAGGAGAAGATTCCCGATGTACCATACTATATTCGGGTGACTCCACGAGAAACTAACCAACTAATGACATGTGCTCGGCCACCTAGGTAAGTGTATCATGAGACACAGAATGACTGACCATAATCCAATAAGGTTATCCAAATAAACCTTCAGTGTCCTCAGTAAACCAATATCTTGGTTCTCTTACTGGCTGGCTGTGTACACAGGAAACCAATGAGAGAAGAACCACAGATAGCGAAAGATGTCAATGCTCTTTCTGAGCCAACATCACAAATCTCAAATTGGAAAATTTAATTATTACAATACAACCCAAATAGCAATGCATAATATCTAATGGCTTCTTGTATCATCTCCTAAACACACTCTGTTATTCCAGAGATATAACATCAATGTATTAATGACCTTTTTGTTTTCTGGTGTGTTTTTCTTCAAACCCTTTAGACATTATAATAACTATGTCAGATTTGGAAAAGAGGAGAAGATTCCCGATGTACCATACTATATTTGGGTGACTCCACGAGAAACTAACCAACTAATGACATGTGCTCGGCCACCTAGGTAAGTGTATCATGAGATACAGAATGACTGACCATAATCCTATAAGGTTATCCAAATAAACCTTCAGTGTCCTCAGTAATCCAATACCCTGGTTCTCTCACTGGCTGTCTGTGTACACAGGAAACCAATGAGAGAAGATCCACAGATAGAGAAAGATGTCAATGGTCTTTCTGAGTCAACATCACAAATCTCAAATTGGAAAATTTAATCATTACAATATGAGTCAAATAATAACCTGTAATATATAATGGCTTCTTCTATCATTTCCTAAACACACTCAGTTATTCCAGAAATATAACATCAAACGTGAAATATGAAACTCCAATAATCAGTCTTTCTTTCCTAAACAGGCTACCACTTAAAGCAGAGCCCCAGACATTCCCCCAGGTATCACCTAATCTGGAAATCTCTCCAGATCTTGAGAAAGGGAAGAGATGGGAGCCACAGGAACAGAATGAGGGGTTTGTGGAAGAAAGTCTAAAATGTTGCCAAAAAACCACAAAGAGACTTTGCTTGCCCCCTTCTGTTACATCTAAATTTGCTGTGCTTGATAAAAGGTAAATACTGTGTGATCACATTAATCAAAGGGGAGACATCTTTTTGTTTTCTATTGTTGATGTTTGTTTTAACAAATTGAGATTTTAGCCTCTCCACCGGGTGCTGGAAGAATTAGCCTGACCTTTTGTTTTTTTGTGTGTTTTTCTTCAAACCCTTTAGACATTATAATAACTATGTCAGATTTGGCAAAGAGGAGAAGATTCCCGATGTACCATACTATATTTGGGTGACTCCAAGAGAAACTAACCAACTAATGACATATGCTCGGCCACCTAGGTAAGTGTATCATGAGACACAGAATGACTGACCATAATCCAATAAGGTTATCCAAATAAACCTTCAGTGTCCTCAGTAAACCAATACCCTGGTTCTCTCACTGGCTGTCTGTGTACACAGGAAACCAATGAGAGAATAAACACAGATACAGTGATCACAAATCACTAGGAAATACTACAGAAAGTGACTTACCAGGCATTACCTAATTTCTATAAGATATGTATTTTAATATAAACAGAAGCTTTAATGGTACAAAGTAAACTATTTACTGGAATTACTGTAACCAGAATGTAATGTGCGTAACATAAATGATCTGATAGTGTCACTATAAGCTGTGCAATAATGCCTGATAGATAACGAGTGATAGGGTAGCTGATGGACTGAAAGTGAGAGGAAAGCTGAAGAGGAATAAGATAAGTGACAAAATGGGCTGATGGATGGAAAGGGAGAAAAGGATATAATTGTTACAACTGTATTTTAACGTTTCCTATTTTTTAATTGCAGAGACCCATTCCTATTCTCTAAGGTAAAGCCTAAATTACTTCCAAAACAATATAAAACAACTAAAAAGGCTACAAATGTCCAAGAAAAAGAAGTAGACAAAAAAGAACTGGAAAATGAAAAAAAGTATTCTGCAGAGTATTGTAAACACAATATTATTCCACAGCCTGAAGCGGTCACAAGTCTAGAGGATATTCCCTGTCACTTGCTGCAGGCAAGGTCTCTAGAGCCTACAGAGATTATCACACATCTAGAAGACAACACTTCTCTAGAATGCCCTGTTTCTACTATTAAACCTCATACAAGTGGATTGACAGAGGAGTTGCCAGTAAACCTTGGTCAGCCACAGTCCACTTTACATTGTCCACCTGAGTCTGCAAATCTAGATTCTCAGAACCCAGTTACAGTTATTTTACTACAGCCTACCTCTCTAGAGCCTACAGAGGTTATCACACACCTAGAAGACAACACTTCTCTAGAATGCCCTGTTACTACCATCAAACCTCATACAAGTGGATTAACAGAGGAGTTGCCAGTAAACCTTGGTCAGCCACAGTCCACTTTAGGTTGTCCATGTGAGCCTACAAATCTAGATTCTCAGAACCCAGTTACAGCTATTTTACTACAGCCTACCTCTCTAGAGCCTACAGAGGTTATCACACATCTAGAAGACAACACTTTTCTAGAATGCCCTGTTACTACTATCGGACCTCATACAAGTGGATTGATAGAGGAGTTGCCAGTAAACCTTGGTCAGCAACAGTCCACTTTGGATTGTCAACCTGAGCCTATGAACCTAGATTCCCGGGAGGCTGTCAAAGATCAAGATCCAGGTATTCTGTTAGTGGGCCCAGTTTGTCCTGCCAAATCAGGCACTAGTGAAATGTTAGAGGAGCTGCCTGTAAACCTTGGTCAGCCACAGTCCACTTTGGATTGTCAACCTGAGCCTATGAATCTACATTCTCGGGAAGCTGTCAAAGATCAAGATCCAGGTATTCTTCTAGTGGGCCCAGTTTGTCCTGCCAAATCAAGCACTGGTGAAATGTTAGAGGAGTTACCAGTAAGCTCTGACATTGTGAGTTATCACTCCAAAACTACTTTGGATTGCCCCACTGTTCAGCCAGAGGAGTTGCTTCTATTCAATCAAAAGGTTACGCCTGAGCAGGAACAAACTGAGATGAAGAATAATCAGCCAGGAAAACATGTGTGTCTGAGTAGTGACCATGAAGAGCAGCCATTGCCAGAAGACAAAGAAAAAGAGCCACCTGGTGAGGCTGATATAGTTCGAAAGAAAAGTCAAGACCTTCCAGTACCTGTACTCCAAGAGAAGAAAAATATTGAATCAAAGGTGGAAAGGATACACTATGACAGGGAATCTTTACTTAAATTCAAATCTATAACACAAGAGCCAAGGGATTTGTCTGAGATTGCAAAACTCTACCAAGGTATGCTCATTAGACCTCACCTTCGACCAGTAGATCCATCACGATTTACCAACAGGAAATGTACACCTCTAACTGCAATTTTCATCCACCCTGCTAAGGATAATTACAGACTGCCATGTGGAATGGGCCAAATGAGGTCCCCGCAAGCTCCTGGTACAGAACTTCGCAAAATCCTTCAAGTAAGTGAGAATATAAAACCGCATACATCTGAAAAGGCTTGGAAACCTCCCATGAAAAGAGCAAATGAAGATCACACTCTTGCCAAGGCTCAAGAATTGGTTCGCAAAGTTCGCAGCATTCTAAATAAAATCACACCTCAGACATTCCAGCACTTAACCAAGCAGGTGAAAGACCTCTCTATACATACAGAATATCAACTGAAAGGTGTTGTAGAAGTCATCTTTGAAAAAGCAGTAGCAGAGCCACATTTTGCTGTTGTATACGCCAGCATGTGCAACTGGCTAATGATGCTTGAGGTCCCAACCGAAGACAACCCTGAAGAAAGCATTACATTCCGTAGGCTGCTAATAAGACTCTGCCAGAAGGAGTTTGAGAGAGTTGAAAATGGGAATGAAAAAACTGAGAAACTGCAAAAGGAACTGGATGCTGCCACATCACCGAGGGAAAAGGCCCTACTAAAAGACGAATTAAGTGATGCTTGTAATAAAGCACGCAGGCGATACCAAGGAAACATCACATTTATTGGGGAGCTATTTAAGCTAAAATTTCTCTCTGAAGACACCATGAAAGACTGCCTAATGAAACTACTAAACAGGAACAGCGAGGAGTCCATCGAATGTATCTGCATTTTGCTCACTACAATTGGAAAATCCTTGGAAAATGGACAGTGTCGCTTGGACAACTATATCAGCAAGATTGACATCTTTATTAAAAACCAGAAAACCTCTTCGCGGATTCGATTTATGGTGCAGGATGTGATGGAATTAAGAAAAAATAACTGGGTACCTCGACATAAATCCCAGGGACCGAAAACAATAGAGCAAATTCATAAAGAGGTAGAACTGGAATCTAGACGAAAAGAGCAGTGAAACAAACAAAAAGGCTACTCCTTGCAAGGACACATGGATAAACACAACGTATGAACAGGGACAAGGCTGCAGATTCCTTCACATAAATACATTCAAAATCATTCAGGCAGCAACACCAACTTTTATGCACAAAGAAACACATATACACAAGCACAAACATTTATCAAAGACAAATTCAGACAATCCTGCAAAGTCAAACACAAACAGTCATACACTGCCTATCGGTAGGTTAAACACTTGAGCAAACAAAATATTTATTCAGATACAAAGGCAATCCCATGTTATGAAACAAACACATTAACGGTGGCATAAAAACATGATTTAGAATTGCACTTGGTAGTGTCATCATTGCCAAATAAAATACACAGTGAAACTCACATTAACACCATGCATGGTTCACTGGACTTCACACTTATCAGAACCACTTTTATTTTCCTACACACATATTTTGTATATTGTTAATTTTATTAAAACAATAAAGTATATATTTTTTAAATTTATCCTGTTATACTGATGTCGGTTTGTTCTTTGGAGTGTTTTATTTCCGTGGCCGGTGCTAGGTTTCAAATATAACTATAGATTCAGTCCATACTATATCTCACAGACACCTTCCTAAGGCCTCATCCCTTGGTTTCTTTGTAGCTGTATAGTACACACTCCCTTAAAGGAATCCTCCAAGCACCAGCAGTCTGCAGTGGTTATAGTACCTGGAGTGCCCTACTGCCCTCTCAGGATAAGTAGTCAAACTTTTTGTGACAGGGAACATCCACTTGTGGCCCAGAATCTCCTGCATTGAGCGAAATCAGTGGTCCAGGGCTCAGCTCATTGGTTGAGAGAGCTCAGCCTACTCCCTCAGCCAGCGAGCTTAAAAAAGTGGAGTTAATGGAAGCTCCTTCTTTGACTACTTACACTGGGGGTGCGAGGGCACTCCTAGTACCATAACTACTGGAGCAGACTGGTTAAGGTGTTGCAAATATTCCTTTAAACCCTTTCAGGGCTGGAGTAGAAATAGTGAATTGTTGTGGAGTAAACTAATGCACGGCATTAAAGGGTTAAGCTGTGCCGGCTGTTGATCTATGTCTCCCTTGTTGTAGTCCATTGGACATTAATATTAGGGAGTTAAATGATTAATTTTATGTTGTAAAAACCAAGGCACATATTTGATGAACATTTTTTGGGTTATTCACTACAGTATGGCTTTAAAGTAAATTTCAATTTAAGGACAAAATAGCCAAATTGGAAGCATAGCTGTCTTGGAGAATGCTTCCATTTCCGCTTTTTGGACTCGAATGTGAATTTCACTTTGAATTCCCAGTAATTCTCACTTTAGTGCATAACTCTGAAAGGATCCATACTCACTGGCAGACTGAGAACCATCTGTGTTTTCTGTAATTACTATCACAGCAAGTTGCCCCGCGTGTATTTGGAGAGACAATGAAAATCATAAATGTTTCAGGTGAAATCCCCTTTAATTATGTACAAAGCCATTATTGTACTTTCATAAAGAATTATCAGAAAACATTTACGTTGCATATTGCTACTCCCAATAAATGTGGAGTGAAACTAGTGCATCTTTAAAGGACCACTATAGGCACCCAGACCACTTCAGCTTAATGAAGTGGTCGGGGTGCCATGTCCATCTAGTGTTAACCCAGCAGCTATAAACATAGCAGTTTCTGAGAAACTGCTATGTTTACACTGAGGGTTAATCCAGCCTCTAATAGCTGTCTCATTGACAGCTGCTAGAGGCGCTTCCGCGATTCTCACTGTGAAAATCACAGTGAGAAGATGCTGTACATCCATTGTCTATGGACTGATTGAATGCGCGCACGGCTCTTGCCGTGTATGCGCATCTAGCGGATAACGTCGGAAGAGGAAGGAGAGTCCACTGGCGCTGGAGAAAGGTAAGTGTTTAACCCCTTCCTCCCCCTTTAGCCCGGTGGGAGTGGGACCCTGAGGGTTGGGGGGACCTATTAACACTATAGAGCCAGGAAAACAAGTTTGTTTTCCTGGCACTATAGTGGTCCTTTAATATTCTATTTGCACTTTTAGCTATTTGTCCTGGCTTCATACTGTAAATTGCATTGTAAGAACCAAACAGTGATACTGCTAATGGCTATATTTGGCAGCATAGGGGCAATCGTATCTTTCAGGTACCACATTCACTTGCTATATTTTTCATTTTGAATTGATGTGTCTATGATTTCAATTATTTTTCGAAAGTTATATTGCAAATATTGCAAGGAGTGAATTATAATTTTAAAGCTAAATATTTGCAAAATGTATCATCAGTGAACTATATGTTTTACAGCAATCACCAAATTCAATAGTGCTATACAATGTAAATAAATGTAAAAGTTAGAGCCGCCCATCAGGGGATTTAACTAAGAGCATTTTGATACTTTTCATTCAACCATTGTATCAATAATCTCTGCCAGAACTGCGTGTTATATAGTGAGCACTTTGTGCTTCCACAGAGACGTTTCAATTCAAGGTGAATTTCACAGACCTACCATGTACCATTACAGTACATACTGTAGCTTTTTATTTATGGGAAGTTATAGGGTTATATTAGGGTCGTGTCATTTTCAGTGTTGCAATTTTGACAATTTGTTTTATTGGACCCACGTTTTTTTTTTTTTTAGAAAAAATTGCATTCCCGAACAGTACTTTATTCCCATTGTGGCATTTTGTTTGCAAAATAAGACAAACTGCTTGATTTCATGTGAGTCTTTTTCAAGGCTTTTTATTTCATCACCAATTTCTTTATATATATATTTTTTATTGTAAAAAATAAATTATTTTGGTGTGCAAGTCAAAAATAGAAATGGCAATACACATACATATAGTTTAGCAATTAAAACCACTGATAACAATTTATCACCATTTACAAGGCGACATTGAGAGCATATATAAATGATAACCACAATGCAGTCAGGAAGCTCGCACGATGGTAAATTAAGGTATCTGTAGGGTCAGTGTTAAACAGAGTGCTGCACATTATGAGCTATACTACCAGGAACAGAGTTAATCCTAGGTGGGTGTACGGATTAGTCTCTACTCCCAAATTAGGCTCCGCACTCTGCGCCACGGACCACCAGGAATCAGGATTCCCACCTCCCTAGCCCAAGCTAAGCATCAGAGTGGGGGGAGTAAACTACAGTTTATTTTTCTACCCTACTAAAGCCCCATAACCCCAAATTGCAGCTCCTAACTCCCGTACTACAGCCCCTAACATTCTTACAACAGCCTCCAACCCCACTACTACAGTCCCTTACACCCACTGCAGCCCCTATCTCACACTACAGCCCTACCAGTGGCATACACACAACCCATGGGGCCCCGGTGCAAAACTAATCCATACTCTTGCCCCTCCCTCTCCCCCCCTCTCCCGACAGACAGACACACAGACATACAGAGACACACACACAGTTGACAGATACATACAGACACATACATACACACACGACACACACACACATGACACATACGAACAGACAGACAGAGACAGACACATATAAAGACACATACATACATACATAAAAAAGGACAGGCACACAGACAGACACACACACACACAAATACAGACACACACACAAGGCACACATACATACAAAGACACATACATACAGACAGACACACACACACAAGACATATATAAAAGACACATACATACAAACAGACAGGCACACATACATACAGACAGGTAGACACAGATACATACATACAAACAAACACACACACACACACACACACACACACACACACACACATAATATTTAATTCACCCTCCTCTTTCCTACCTTTTAGGTGCAGGAGAGTGACTTTCCCTGGGGTCCAGTGGTGGCTCAGGTTGACGGGAGTCAGAGTTCCCAGTGATAGCTGGGAGGAGTGATGGGGAGTCACTTCCTCCCAGCGTGTGGGGGGCCCGGTTGCGCTGTTAAAACACCACATCACTGACAGAGCCCCTTGAAAATCCATACCCATCGGGTGGCCCTGACAGCATGGGCCACCCGATGGGCACCTTAACAAGCGGCCTCAGCGCAGGGGTCTGTAGGTACGCCAGCGAGCCCTACCCCTAAACGTAGCCTTTAGAGTCTCTATAATCCAATTCCAGCCCATATCCTCCCCACTACAGGCCATATCCCTCACACTACACCCCTATCCTCCACTGTTAGCCCTTATTCCATACTACAACCGCCATTCCCTTACTACAATTCCTAAATCCACTACAGTCCCTCCCCTCCTCTCTACAAACCATCTCCCCCAATTGCAGCCCTTACTTCCCACACTATAGGCCCTTTCCCCACTTGCAGCCATCTCCACACTTCAGTCCCTAATGTAAGAATATTAAATAGTTAACTTGTTTATATGTATTTTATGCTTTTATAAGGTTTATAACATGATTATTGCTGACTGAAGGGATATTGAATACTTAAAGTCAATATGCTGACTGTGACAGACTAAGGAATTTCTTCTATAGGATGTAAGACAATGCTAAATTTCAGGATGTCTTGCCCATTCCGATTTTAAGGATATTCTTTTCCAGACGTATGCAAAAGCTTATCTTTCCATTGTCAGAATAACGTAATACAAGGAAGTAATAAATCTTATAGTCTGTACTGTATTTGCATATACCATGGCTAATGTAAGCAAACTATGTATAAAAGCCAGCTCTGGAATACACTCATTTGAGAGTCTTGTAAAGCTGTTGTCCGTGTGTTATTGCTTACAAATGATTCTCCATCAACGTTGATTATGGTGACCGAGGGATCGAGAACCGAGGGGATTAGAGTCCATTACAACATTAACCCTTTCAGCTTGGTGTCTAGAAGTGGGATAGATAGAAGTTGGATCAGCAAAACCATTTGCGGTGAGTAGCCTTTTTGTGTCTTATTTGACGCTGATTGTCTATGACCCCCTTTGGTTCAGTAAGACTGTATCCAGTAGATAGGAAAGGTGTAAGGACTCTAGTTATATTGAGACTATAAGAGGTCTCCGGTTTATTAGACATTTGGTCTAAATATATATAGGGGTTCTTGGTAACCCAGGTTAGTATCTAAGATAGATACAGGTTTTTGAGACCATAAGAGGTCTCCGGTTTATTATAGGGTTTTGGTAACCCAGGTTAGTATCTAAGATAGATACAGGGTATCTCAGGTAGATACAGGTTTTTGAGACCATAAGAGGTCTCCGGTTTATTAAGTCTATAGGTGTTCTGAGCAGCATGGTTTGTAGATCTTTAAGTATAACCCAAACTTCTCTTTCTCCCGGTCACCTTTGTTTGTCTTAAGTGTTTTTTGTGGGTGATTGATTGTCTATATTGGGGACACACTTTGGTAAGTTAGTAGTGTCCCCACTCTGAATCAGCAGTATGGGAAATGTGAGTTCAGGTCCTGAGTGACCAATATGTGTATGTATATATGTGTATATGTATGTATATATGTGTGTGTATATGTATATGTGTATATATAAGATAGCAGTACTTTTAAACAAATGGAGGTTTTAAAAATACATAGGGATTAAGGAGAGAACGCAGGTAACTTGTTTTTCTTTGGTTTTTACCATATATTGGGGCTGATGTGTACTGTAGTCCTTGCTGCTGCCCAGTAGTGATGGGAGTGAGCGCAGGACTTATCTTTCTGCAAGATAGCAGTACTGTATATTAGAAAAGAAATGACTCATAGGTTGTACCTGATAGACCTACTTAAATCTTTTTGCTTTATTCTTTCTGTGCATAGAAGTATAAGTTTATTACTCTGTTTTATTGTAAGTTATTTCACATGGGAACTGTGTGCCTGGAATGATTGTTGCTTTAAAAATACTATAAGCCCACTACACTTATTATGAGAGTGGGATAGTGTAAATGTGTTACATTGTTTGCATGATGAGCTCAGTATATTTTATAACTGAGACAAAAAGTCACTTCATTAGTATTTGAAAGTTAATTCCCCGTATGGGATTAATTGTATAGAACACCAATCAGCACATCTTCCCTGCCCTGTGTGTTTGTTGCAAAGGATCCATACTGTAAATATAATTTTTGTTTGAAAATAACAGAGCAACATTTACATTTTCAGCGGTCCAACACATGCTTTATTTTGCACTGTAAACTAACCTTTTTATTGCAACAGGTTCCTTTTAAATGATCCAGTGTAATAACTACTGCTTGTGTCTTCTATGTCTCACATTATGTGTTATTTTAAATTGTGGTATATAGCCTGAATCAGAAATCATGGACAAAGGTTTTTTACCTGTATTACAAAGGGCTCTTGGAGACTGACCGGTCTAAAGGTTTGCCATGCCTTTAAAACATGGTATAGTATAAATTTTTTAAGTCTCTGAGAGTTCTGAAAGATTCAGGTGAAACCATGTCTGTTTAATCTGGTCCAGATGTTTGTTCAATTTCTGTAAGATTTAAGTTGATGCAGCATCATCTCAGATTAGTTAATGGTAGTTTTATACAAATAGTTGAGTTATGAGCGCGCTATATAAATGGATCCTTTCTTTAAATACAATACTATAGTAGATTAAAGTAATGAAGTTAATTAAGAAAATGTATACATAAGAATCCCTAAAATAAATCTAAACTAAAATTGGTATACTTTCCAATAATATGTTCTGAATACAGCTGTTAACTGTTTATTCTGTGTAAATGGTGATTGTGATAATGTGTGATAAGTGTGCAGTTTAACTTGAAAGTGGTTTAATGTATATGTTGCTGTATTGTTTTAAATTATATGTGAATCAGTTTGTCACAGTCTAGTGATACTGATAAGAATGACAGCCAAATAACCTAGCAAATAACTGTTTTATTAGTTGTTGAATACTAGCTTTTTGGCCAAGAATAGTTGGAGATTTGGAGGTGTTAGTTTAAGATTGCTTTTATATTGTGTCTATCTGTGTTTCCTAGGAGGGAGACAGAGTGTGTAGTTGTGTGCCCATAAATGTGATTTCTGTATTGGCATATCTGCTGGGTACCCATTATGTGTTTCTACAAAGATATTGTTTTATGAGATGACTAATATTACATGGGATGCTGAGTATGAGTTATATGGTTTGAAATGAATTGGTGATTATGAGCTTAGTACTTCAGTAAGATGTGCTAAAATTTGGAACAAGGTGGAAGCTGAAATGTTGGGATTATGGAAGAATAAGCAGTCTATATTCACTGCTTTGGCATATAAGCAAGATGCAAAGGAAGAGATTGGTAATATGATTTTTGTAAAGAAATTTTACAAGTGTTGGAAGGATGAGGCAGGTTTGATGTCTGGAGATGATATAGATATCTTTAAAATACAGTCATGCCTTGGTAATATGTTGCCACAGTATTCTTTGCTTGTGAAACAATTGATTTCAGACTGGGCCAATTTGGATAGCTCAGATTTTCTTACCAAGGTTATAGAAAAGGAAAATGCAGGTTGTTTTGAATTAAGAAAAGATTTAGGAAAGTAAGGTTGCTTATTATGCTCAGGGATTGCCACCTACACAGGCTGAGAGCGAGGATGGGATGGAGCACATAAAGCCCGTGGAAGGGGTGGTCAAAGAGGGGCAAGGGGATGGAGACAGGGAAATCAGGGTTATAGGGGCAGGGGTAACCAAGGAGGAATAGACAGGAACACTTGTTTCAACTGTGGCCAATATGGCCACTGGAGGAATGAGTGTCCCCACCCCAGGAAACCCCATCAAACCCCACACACCCCACCAACCCCACAATTCTCAAAATATGCCCTGTAGGCAAGAACAACACCAGACCCACTCCCAACACCACTGGCCAGCATATCGCTTAGTTCAGGACTTTAGAGCCCTGAATAGTTTAATTGTGCCCATTTCACCCATTGTCCCTGATGTGACATCCCTCATTACAGCCATTCCACATGATGCCACTTGCTTCACTGTCATTGATTTAAGTAATGCATTTTTTCTATACCTATTGATCAAGAGATACAGCTACTTATGGTTTTTACTTTTTGAAGGCTGTCAGTTTACCTGGACACGCTTACCCAAGGCTATGTGGATTCCCCAGCTGTTTATTCGTTGGTACTCCAACATACTCTAAAAAACATGGACCATCGGTCATGGTTCCGTCCTTTTTGCAAAATGTTGATGATTTGTTGTTATGTAGCCCTAGCTATGAGGCAAGCACTGTGGATACTGTCAGCAACTGTGGGTCACAAGGTTGTTAAACACAAAATGCAATTGTGTAAATCAAAGGTTGAATACTTAGGTTTTGTTCTGGCTTTAGGCACCAGACAATTGAGTCCAAAATGTATTGAGGTCATTCAGAGGATTCCAACACCCACTACTCGGAAGGAGTTGCTCACCTTCCTCGGCATGATTAATTACTGCCACCAATGGATCCCTGAATGCTCCCATTATGACTCAATCCTAAGGGAGGCTGTACGTTCTGACAGCCCTGAAAATGTCTGCTGGTCACCAGACATGCTAGCTGCATATATTGCCCTTACAGTTGTTATTGTGCAAGCCCAGGCTTTAGGACTACCTGTGTATTGTAAACCATTTCATTTGTATGCTTGGGACAATTGTAAAACCATGGCCGCGGTCTGTGCACAAGAGCAAGGAGGCGGTATGCGTCCCATAGCATTCTTTTCCAAAGTAGTTCAAGCTCCGGTACAGGGTATGCCGGCGTGTCTCAGAGCATTGATAGCATGTGCAATGGCTGTTGAAACTGCTACTACTATCACACTAGGGCATCCTACAATACTTCATGCCAGTCACCAGGTCACTCAGCTGATAACAAATCTCACCACACAACACATGACAGCCCAGCGCTTCAGTGGTTATGAGATTCTTTTTTTAATACCCAGAATCTGTCTTTTGGATTAAACAAGGTTTAGAGAAAGATCAAAATGATCTGTTCTCTAAAGAGGGGAGAATAGGCATACTTGAAGAATAGGCATACTTGAAGCAAGCTGATTTATTTTCATCAGTCAGGCACATAGCAAGCACCATTCAATTCCTCATGAATTCATTTTATATTAGGAATCTCAGGCAGCATGTACAGTCTTTTGTAAGATCGTGTGAACGCTTCTCTTTTTACACACTTACAGATTGATTTTATTCATGTATCCAAAATTGGTAAGAAACAGCAATACTTACTGGTCATAGTTAATCAGTTTAGTGGATGGCATGATGCCTTTGTGACATCTAGGGAGGATGCTAGTGAAGATTATTGTTACTGAAATTATTCCCCGGTATTGCTGCCCTCTGCAGATTGGCTCTGATAATGGCCCGGTTTTTGCAAGTGGGGTTGCCCAGGAACTTGCTAAATTCTTGCAAGTTACCTGGCAGTTTCATATACCCTATCATCCACAGAATACAGTGGTAGTTGAAAGGATGAATAGGACTATTAAGGAAAAGCCCAGAATTTACCCAGGAACATGGGTAAATTGGACTAGATATCTACCAGCTATTTTAGCTGAGATAAGAATATATCCCCACAAGGTGAATTGTTGATAAAACCGAATGGTATGTATGACAATGTTTCTTCGCAGTTTTCCCTTACCTTCACAGGATCCTACTCATTCATACCAGCCCGGTGACAAGGTGTATATCCGTCAGCTGAACAGGACCAAGAAAGGAGGATACCCTTTTGGACCACCTGCTACTGTGATTGCTGTAACCAGAACCGCTGTCCTCACAGATTCCCATGACATCTGGATTCACGCATCCCGAGTGAAGCTGTGTCCAAAGAGGGGAACCAAGGAAGACAACACCACTCCTCGCTCGGAAACAGAAGAATTTCTCCTCAGCGAAGCATCATGGCTTTTACACCATATCGTAGATTGAGAGGATCATACGTACCTGAGACCAAGATTATGTTGTGCGCTATGCTTTCTGGAGTTGTTATACTCCCTCTGATATTGTTCCTTGAATGCCATTATGAGTACAAGTCAATGGCAAGTTCTGGAAAAAGACTCTGACATGATGAACAATTCTTCAATACCCCAAGCCCAATTAGGCCTTAGCCCCTCATCTAGCATTCGTCACACACGCCCCCTCAAGAACCTTTCTCCACCACCTTTCTATCAGCATGTAATATGCAATCATTCATTCACTGAATGCATTTGGATGAATTGGACAAATAGTAACCCTTATAAGTACCAGTTACCCATATGAAATGTGTCTACAGCTAATGAAACCGATGCATTATGTTTGTTTAAAGGTTCACAGAAAATTGTTAGATCTTATAACGCAGAAATGTGCACAGTTAAGGTTGCATATCAATGTAAACAGACAGGCCTTATTACTTTTAATAATGATTATATAACTGGTATCATTAATTGGAAAAGGGGACAAATGTTAGTCATTATGAACGACACTGCAATTGAGAACTATACACTACCTTATATTTTTACACCTTATTACTGTCCTTCATCCACTATCATAGAACCAAAAGTCAAACACGACACACACACACCTATTCCGTCCACATGTGTTAATACAACTGCCTTCTTACAAGCTGTACATGTGTCATTAAAAGTCACTACTCTTGTTGTAACATTATGTAATACAACAAACAAAGGCAGAAAAGGGAATGGTATGACACACTGTTAGATGGTGCTGGAACCACTATGGTATACTAAATAGTTATAGATATGGAGACCCTCAAGAATAAGTTAAACACAGCCAGCATGCATATAGGGACTGGTTTCCATGCTACTGCAAACTGGGCTCCAATTGTTGTTAAATCACAGGTTATAGGATTGGATTTAGATAAATCAATGTATAATTATTTAGATAATTTAACTGTTGCAACTATGAAATTCACTACAGGTCTAAGTAACTGGAGTACTTGTGCCATCAGGTATTTATGGATACAACAACAAGGATTGGCATTAGAAAACACACTAATGATTCCTAAACTAGAGAAGATTAGAGGAATGTGTAACCTCACAGATAATGAATGGTTACTTCTAAAACCCCAATCCACTAAATGCAATGAATGGTTAACTGGTAATGTTTCACATTTTTCATGCTCATGCTATTTTACATTATATCATACATCATCAAAGGATGTTAAATTAGCTTGTCAATTTAACACATTACCAGTACCAGTTTATGATCTTTTTGCCAAGAATTTAACCTGGTGGGCACCCACATACACAGGGGACTATATTTTTCCCAAAGATAACACACACAGGTAGCCACACATATCCTAAAAGGAGAACTCCTTAAGGTGAGTTCACAAATTCAGAATGATTCAGCCCATAATTGGTACAATGCTTTACTGGTTGGTCCCCTACTGGATCTCAGATAATGAAATCATTCTTCTATCATTTTGTTATTATAGTCCTGATTTTATTGTGTATGATTTTATATAACTGTCACCTTAGTTGTACATTGAGGAAGTGAGTACAGAAATTAATCCATAATGCAGAACAGAAACAATTAGAAATTCTCCTCTCTGCCACTGTAGAGTATCAACCCATCTTTAAACTGGGCCTTAGGAATTACCACATGGGAATCGAGGTGAAGAAATTAATGAAAGTCCCGCAGGGAGTGACTAGCACCCCTGAAAATACCATGTGGAAGTTTCTCTGTCCTGGTAAGATTTTATCGATAAGATGAGCAATTGTTTTATTGCTCAAAGAGGGGAATGTAAGAATATTAAATAGTTAACTTGTTTATATGTATTTTATGCTTTTATAAGGTTTATAACATGATTATTGCTGACTGAAGGGATATTGAATACTTAAAGTCAATATGCTGACTGTGACAGACTAAGGTATTTCTTCTATAGGATGTAAGACAATGCTAAATTTCAGGATGTCTTGCCCATTCCGATTTTAAGGATATTCTTTTCCAGACGTATGCAAAAGCTTATCTTTCCATTGTCAGAATAACGTAATACAAGGAAGTAATAAATCTTATAGTCTGTACTGTATTTGCATATACCATGGCTAATGTAAGCAAACTATGTATAAAAGCCAGCTCTGGAATACACTCATTTGAGAGTCTTGTAAAGCTGTTGTCCGTGTGTTATTGCTTACAAATGATTCTCCATCAACGTTGATTATGGTGACCGAGGGATCGAGAACCGAGGGGATTAGAGTCCATTACAACATTAACCCTTTCACCTAACCCTCTACTACAGTATCTATCCCCCACTACATTTTCTAACCCACTAATTTCAGCCCATACCCTCCACTACAGCTCCTACTTCTCCACAACAGCTTTTTCAACCAACCAATCAGAGTGTTGTTATTAGTCAAATTACGCAGCGTGGGAAAATTCCAAAGCATTTTCCCTCACTGTGTAAAATGACACAGAGCACTATGACCAATCAGAGTGCTGTGACAGGTAAATGTAGAGACTTGGGGGCGGAGCTTACCAGCCGAGCGAGCCAGAAGCACATGGCGAGAGCTCCCATATCTGAAACCTTGATTCTGGGCATTACGCCCAACCACCGGATCGTGCCGGCAGCAGACAACCATCCTCATATCTAGAAGGGGATGCTGAGTCCGGAGATACCTGATCCGGGGCTCCCCGCCCACACCACAACCCGCGGCCTGCACGGGTGGGAGCCGCGGAGAGACGGCCGCTCTCCCGGTTCTCAGGCTGAAGAGGGGACACTCACACACTGCTTCCCCCCCCCCATGGACCGGCGGAGATATCCCGGTCCCCGCCGGTATGGAAAACTACAAGCCGAGACATCATAGCAGCCGCTGAACTTTCAAGAAGAATGGAAGCGGCGGTGCCCAAGATGGCGGACAAGCCGAGCTTCACTACATGTGGCCTGATGCAGCCACAACACAGCATAGAAAGGCACACAGCGAAAGAGATAAAGATGGCGAAACCTGGAACAAGCAGCACCCTTGCCACTCCACCCAGACACACTCAGGAGTTCTTTGACCTACTCTGCACCAGCTTATGGTCAAAACTCCAATATAAAGGCCGGCCCTTCAAACAAGCGGTCCAAGCGGTAGCAGCATGGGTCTGACCAGCTACCCGACGGCAACTGTGTGAGTACCCACAGCGAGCCCCCAGGGCAGCCTCCAGAAGGGGACGAAGCCAGAGAGCGAAGCAGCGAGTGGCGATGGCTTGCCCCTCAGGCGCCAGCACTCACCCATGGCAAAACTCCCACGGAAAATTACACAGTTGATACAGAGTCTGGTTTTAATCCATAAAGGGCAGAAATCACCTAACATTCCTAAATCACAATGAATATGGATTGACACCTGACATATGACATATTGACACCTTGACATATGGATTGACACCTGTCCTCAGAGCCCCTGATGCACACGGACAAAGAGCAGAATAGGGACTGGTCCCCCTACATAGGGTCACTTGGCAGATATGGATTGACACTCTGTCCTATGATCCTGATACACACTGGCACAGAGCAGAATAGGACTGTTCCCCCTACATCGTGGGTCACTTGGCAGATATGGATTGACACCTGTCCTCAGAGATCATGATACACACTGACACAGAGCAGAATAGAGACTGTTCCCCCTACATAGGGTCACTTGGCAGATATGGATTGATACCGTCTCAGGACCATGACACACACACTGACACAGAGCAGAATAGAGACTGTTACCCCTACATAGGTCACTTTGTGATAAGGATTGACACCCGTCCTAAGGATCCCTGATACCCAATGTCACAGAGCAGAATTGGGACTGTTCCTCCTACATAGGGTCATTTGGCAGATATGGATTGACACCCGTCCTAAGGATCCCTGATACCCACGTCACAGAGCAGAATTCAACTGTTCCTACATAGGTCACTTGCAGATATGGATTGATTGACCTGTCCCAAGGATCTGTAACGAGAATATACCCCTACACGCAGGATCCAGCTAAACAGAGGCAAATACAGAGGAGAGATACGCCTACCGGACCTTAGAATGGCCGGACTCGACGTATATGAGAGGAGACAGAGCCAGGAACAAACCGAGGTCAAGGGCACAGAGAGACAGCGTAAACTAGGACAAGCCGGGGTCTGGTACACGAAAACAGCAAGCCGGCAAACAGTACAGATAAGGATAAAGCGAAAACGAAGTCAGAATACGAAGCCAAAGTCAATACGAGAAAACACAACTGAACACCACAAGCGCTAAAGGGAACTGAAACAGAAACCACGATAGGGCAACGAGCTAAGGGCAGCAAAAGCAAACAGCTTTAAACTAGTGATTGGCTCATCACTTACACTCTATAGGTAATTGTACAGGGAAAGTGTGTGGTATGACAGGAGCCAATGGGAGCCTTTTGGCAATTAGGCTCCCACTGCTTTTTAAGAGCCGCCGCCCCGAGACTCGCTGGGCGCCTAGTTTCGATCGGACACGGGACCGCCACGTCACTGCCCGCCTTCCATCCAAAGCAGTCGGATGAGCCGCGCGCGGCTCGTGCAGCCGCAGGACCGCGCGCGGCTTGAAGAGAGGACCGCGACCGGCCCCCGGTTAAGGTAAGTAACGCTACAAAATGGAAACTTTTGGTTCTATCTTCTCTTATGTACCCGCCACAGAAATAATATTTGCCTTTATGAATTTATTATTTTGCCATTCTATACATATGTTGCAAGCCGGCTTTGTGATCCGATAGGATGGACACCACAATTTCTTCCCCTATGGTCAAGTTAGGCCACTCATGTTTGGACTTGGTTAGAAGATGGCGCTTGTCACATTTCAAATATAACAAAAATGAGGCTTTATTATTACTCTGTGGGGGTAAATATGAATGTTTTTGTCCTTCCTTTGGATATGATACTGGAATAAGGCTAATGGCATTTACATATCAAAGGGATTGGCTTATCCCTTACAAGCAGTGGCGTCGCTAGGGGGGGGCCAGAGGGGGCCATGGCCCCCCCTACATCATGCTGTGCCCCCCTTGGGCCCCCCCAAATGCCAGCAACTTGCTGGCCATGGGCTTCCCTCGGACTGTAACAGCCTGTTACAGCCGAGGGAATGCAGGAGAGAGGTGCTGGGGGCTGTCTGTGGCTGGAGGGAGCACTGATTGGCTCCCCGGCACAGGCTCCGCCCCCAAACGAAGCCTCCTGCCGTTAAGCCCCGCCCCGCTGTAATGCAGCAGCCCATGCTGCTTCAGAAGATGGCTGCCTGACCCCCAGTGACAGGTAGGCTGGGGGGGGGGGTGTACACACACACATTGCCCCCATACACACACATTGCCCCCCATACACACACACTGCCCCCCATACACACACATTGACCCCCATACTGCCCCCCATACACACACACTGCCCCCTATACAGCCTCCCATACACACACACTGCCCCCCATACAGCCTCCCATACACGCACACTGTCCCCATACTGCCCCCCATAGACACACACTGCCCCCGACCTACACACACTGCCCCCCA